AGGAGTAGAAACCTTGACCTATGTTTAAGACCTTGTGACCTTAATTGATATTTTGTCTGGAGTTCTTGGGGTTACCCCAAGACATTAGGTTGTTTTTTTGTTTTGAGTGCAGGTTCTTGTGATTACATATATTGTCAGTAATCTGGATTTCATCTGTATGCAGTTGTTACTTTGCCCAATTTTTGTGAAGGCTTAATGCAGTGAAAGCATGGTTTTCTTAAGAGGTTTAATTAATTGTTTCTTCGTTTCAAATCCAAAAGATGGAATTCTGTATTGACTCATTGTGTCAAATGTTGGTTTCTTGTTGGTTAGATTGTTCTTTTCCCTAGCTTTTACTTCAGACTTTAGGATAATCTCTTCATCTCCTCCCATCTTCTTTAATTTTAAAAAAAAAATCTTCTCCCTCCTTTTGAAAATTCTTCCTGTTTTAAAACTTGAACTATTTTCATAATAAACTTGGACTTAGGTCCATGCATTTTCAAAATATTTTCTTAATCAAATCTCAATCAATTTAATAATACCTTGACATTTTTTGGTGAAAAGACTAAAAGTCAATCAATCTCATTCAAATCATTTTTGCCATTTTGGCTTTTATCTTTAAACTTTTCTCAAAAATATTAGACTCTTGTCAATCTTTGTAGTGATGCAAACAACTATACTTTTACAATATGTAGTGAAGTGAGATATTTTCCACTTGGGTGTTGAGTGAAGCATTGTTGATTTTAAAATCCAAGCCATATCCTCCACTTTGAGATGATGCAAATTCTCCTTTCTCATAATTGTGGGTAGTAAGTATGTTTTCCACACGGATAATGACAATGATATCTTGTCTCTAAAAATAAACCAACACACATTTGTTTTAAATTTATTTTATTTTAAAGAGGAACTATGTGTACCCTAATCCCCTATTGCACGAAAGGTTGTACGTAGGCACTAAAGGTTCACAACCGCGGCGGGTGTAAAAATCATAAAAAAATACTTCTTTTCTCATCCCCACAATCTATTTCTTATATACAACATTTTATAGCCAAAATATACAGATTTTTTAAGAGGTTCCTGTGGAGTACCGTAGATGTCTAGGGTGCTAATACCTTCCCTTTGCATAACCAACCCCTTACCTAGAATCGTTCTGCACTCTTTTGGGTTATTCTCTATTTTCCCATTCCTGTGGAAACAATAAAGTGTAGTGGCGATTTTTATTTTGATCTTTATAAGTCAAGTCAATCCAATGGATTAGTCTTAAAATTTCAACCGCTACATCGCCCTTCTGACTACCATCTTTACAAGACGTTTGATTGAAAATGACGTCATAACCATTGTCACTAAGTTGGCTAATTGACAAGAGGTTATGCATCAGACCCTCGACTAAAAGAACATTGTTAATAGAAGGAAGTTTACCATTACCAACAGTTCCAGAGACAATGAACTTTCCCTTCTAATTGCCTCATAAACCAATGATTCTTCTAGACTTATGTTTCAAATCTTTGAACATATGCCTTTCGCCCGTCATGTGTAGCGAGCATCCATTGTATAGATACTATGATTGGTGTCTCAGTGGCGCCATCAAGGATATCTACAATATAGATTTATTTCATCCTTAGGTACCCATTTTCTGGGTCCTTTCTTGTTAGTAGTTCCCGAGATTCTGACACCTTTAGAATCTTGTGAAATAGGATAATCAAGTGGAATTTATGCATGATATTTTTGCTTAGAAGTTTCCATTTGTATTTATGGTTGTGTTTTAGTTGAATCGTAACCTTCTTGTTTTGGATATTTTAGTTCAGTGCCAGCAAGCACAAAATGTTCAGAAAGAGGTTTTGGTTTGACACTCAAAGTATAATCAATTATTTTTGATGGTCCTGAATATCCCAAGCCTATACTTTCGTTTCTGCTAACGCCATAGATCATTGAAGCCATATTGCTTCTGTCTATGCTTTTAGCATGGAAGTATTGAAAAGCTCTATCGTATCTGATTACTTCATCAGTAACATATGTGCTAGAGATAATCTCTTCTTCTAACCTTGAGACTTTACTTTTAAGAGCAAGATTTTATTTTTCTAAAACAAATAATTTTCATTTAAATCAGAAAAGTTTTGCTCATTTTTAGAAGTAACTACAAAATTACTTTTCATAGTTTTGTGTTTACTCAGAAGAAGTTGATATTTTCTCATCATTTCAAACAAACAAGTTTCAAGTTCATAACGAGAAAGAGAAGACATTACCTCTGCTTCGCCATTAAAGTCCGACTCTTCATCAGCTGTAAGCTCACACTCTGAGATAACTTCATCAGTGCTTGTATTGGCTATGGGTGCCATGTTAGCATGTTCTTCTCCAGATTCTTCCTCTTCTGATCTGAATCATCCCATGTTTCCATGTGACCCTTCTTTTCTTTGAAGACCTTCTTGGGCTTCTTCTCTTTTTTGAGCTTTGGGCATTCATTCTTGTAATGTCCAGGCTCTTTGAATTCATAGCACATGACTTCTTTCCTAAAATATTTCTTCTGATCAGATGTAGATTCAAATCTACCATTTGTTTTTCTTGGTCCTTTGAACTTACTCTATCTATGTTTCCATATTTGGCATATCCTTCTGGATATCAGAGAAAGTCCATCTTCATCTGAAACTTCTTTTGTTCCTTCTGATTCTTCTTCAGCTAGAAAAGCCTTTGTCTTTCCAGACTTAGACTTCAGAGCCACAAATTTAAATCTTTTATGAGGTTCATCTTCTTCAAGGTCTATCTTATGACTTCTTAAAGAACTAATTAGCTCCTCAATACTGGTATTTTTCAGATCCTTTGACAACTTCAAGGAAGTTACCATTGGTCTTCATTTCTTAGGCAGACTTCTGATAATTTTCTTAACATATTTTTGGATCTGAAGAGAATCAAAAAGAGAGTCTTGAGTCCTGCAACAAGAGTCTGAAATCTTGAAAACATAGTTTCCACAGATTCATCATCTTTCATTCTGAAGGCTTCATATTTTTGGATTAGGGCCAGAGCCTTTGTCTCCTTAACTGTAGTTTTTCCTTCATGAGTCATCTGAAAAGAATCAAAAATAGACTTTGTAGTATTTCTATTTGTGATCTTCTCATACTCATTATAAGAAATAGTTAAATAATCGGCTGAACAAATCATCGAGATGAAATCAATAAAGTCGCCATCGAACATTTTTTTATCCCACAGGAAGGGAAAGGTAAACATCGAGTAAACTTAAGAAGGGTGAAATCAAGGTCAAACGACTAAGAGATCAGGAAAGGGAGTTTGTTATGCAAGGAGAAGGTATTAGCACCCCACATGCCCGTAGTACTCTATTGTATCCACTCTTGTTATTCTAATCAAAGGGTGTGTTTCAAATCTAATCTTAAGATCTAAAATAAAATGAAAAGAGGGTATGCATGCAAAAGAAAACACGAGGAAATGATGGAAATATTTACAAAACTCGGCTCAGATGAGCCCCGTGACCAGATGTATACGTCCCGTTTTAAGGAATCAAAGCACTGTAGTTTGGCTCACATGTTTTGGTTTGTTTTGTGTTTTTCAATGAACAATATTAATTTCGACTTTTACCGTAACTCAACCTTTAGAGACTCACGCGTCAACACAGAAGTGAAGTAACATGGTCTAGCAATTTAGACATAGTGTCACTCGACCTTTGGAGATTTATGCATCGTGTTGCATAGAGTAGAATTAACACATCCTTTTGAAGTTTGAAAGAAAGGCCCGAAGGCGAGAAGAGTTCGTGTTGGTTGATGTTTTTTACCTTAAATAAAGAGTTGAAAATTGTTAGATGTTTTATGCATTTTCAGAAAAGAGTTTTAGTCTTAATGCAATGATGCAAAACGAAAAGAAAATAAAAAATTAAGGGAGACTATCCTAAATATATCCCTAATGTTATCATACAATGATTGAGCCTAAGGTTGCGTTTTGAAAGGCAAATATATACCCTATGTTAGCATGCATGTATACCTATCCTAATGTCTAGCTCGAAAGCTACCCTAATCGAGTGATCCTAAAGGAACATACAACGGTTCAAAGCCCAAGGGAAAATTCAATGGTCAAAGTTATTATCTCAATTCTAATTGAGTGACATCATTGATCATTGACAAAGGAAAACGATAAAGTCCCGAGGGAGCATACAAAGATCGAAGTCGTTTTCTCAATTCTAATTGAGTGATATCATTGATCGTGAGCAAAGGAAAATGAAAATCCTAAACGGGAGCATGAAAAGATTGAAGTCGTTTACTCAATTCTAATTGAGTGACATCATTGATCGTCAACAAAGGAAAATGAAAATTCTAAAGGGGAGCATGCAAATATCGAAGTCGTTTTCTTAATTCTAATTAAGTTACATCATCGATCGTCAAGAGAGGAGGAAAACACAAGCACAAACACAAATAACAAATAAGTGTGGAATGCCTGCTACAGGTCTTTAAACAGCGACTTCAAGTGCACGCTCTTTATTATCCTACTTCTCATGATCTCTAGAAAGCAGTAAAATGTAGAAAGATAAACCAGAATCAGAATGATACCAAACAAACAAAAGTTCGTAGCGCACAAGCAAAGCAGAGAAACCCAGAAAACTTCATGCAAGCTTCACCAAGCAACAAAGAAGATTAAGAAATCAAGTGCTCCAAATAATTGTCGAAGCGTCCTAGATGTGAAAAAAAATCACAATCAGAAACTCAAGCATATCCACATATCACAAATAAACCTGCACAAGACTCAAATCTCAACAAGCAAAGGTGAATTACAAAATCTCAAGTAATCGGATAATCTTGATTTAATTCCTAAAATCAAATAAAAAGCTTAACAAATTTTTGTTGATTTTATTATTTTAATCACGTGAATAAAAAGTTCAAACAACTAAACAATTCACAAAATTATTTAAAAGAAATTACTAATAGAATAATCTCAAGGGGTGCAATCCAGTAATCTAGGGGGTATGATGAAGCAGGGCGCTAGGCCCAACAGAAATGATCCATGGTGTTATTTTTATTGCAAAAATGGGCCTAAGAGGGGGGTGTAAGATTCGGTCTATCACCAATTCATCACAATTATCATCCAATATCATTTTTTAATGACTAAGGACAAAAATCAGTGAACACAAATGGGGCGGTGTGTATAGAGAGAGGAATTAGGGTTAAATTGTGACCCTTGGAATCTTTCCAAAACAAAATTTGACTCCCTCCATCTTTCTCTTTCCGGCACTGCGAACTGAATCCCTCCCGCCACTCGACCTTTCAATCTCTACTGTGTTTATGCAAATAATCACACCATTTCGACCTCCTTATCACGTCCATTTAATCCATGTTCTCAATTCTTTGTCTCAAACTTCAAAGTCTATCGCGGTAACGTCTCAAATCTGTCTTCCGTTCTACTTCTTCAACATATCTGTCACAACCTCCTCAATGCTTCGATTCAACTTCATCATCGTTAGCGTTATCCTCAATGTTTCTCTCTTCTCTGATTTCAGGCCTAATTCTCTTTGATTCACCTCAAACTCAACTGGAAACAAAAATTGAAAAGGAAAAAAGATACGTACCAACCGGAGTAGCACCGACGGTTCTTCGAATTGATGAAGATCGTAAGAAAACCATAGAAGTTGCAATTCAAGTACGTTTGATTTTGCACTTTCATTTTATTTATCTTCAGTTTTTGTTATCATTCCTAAATTGACGCTTCTCTGTGTTTTTTTGAATTCCTTATGCGATGTAGATTGCAGAATTGGAATTGACTAAAATGATAATCGAAGATTCGATTCGGCTATGATTCAACGATGTTGATCGAATCGTATTGGTGAAGAACGAAGAAACAGATTTGAGATGTTGAAGCTGATTGCTGAAGGCCGATGATGAATGGACGAAACTTTTATTGGTTAATGAAAGTAGAAGATTGAAGGTGATTCTGGCGATTGATGAGGATTCTTGCAGAATGATGCAGATGGTTGAAGAAACTGAAGAACGTGAGATTTAGGGTGATAGAGTGCAAATTTTTTCAAGGGCGAAGAGGGGATAAGAGAGAATTTTCAGATATTTTTCACGGTTCCAACCTTTCCTCTTTAAGTTTCTAATTTTAAATTGGGGGCATGGTTGCAAATTGATTTTCGATTTTCTTCCTTCTAAGTTGAATTATGACTTAATGAAATCTCTCTTTTTCTGATATATAACTTCTGATTTTCTGAACCGCATTGGCTTAACTGGTTTTCCATTATCAAATCGAGTGAAACTGGCTCTTTTTTGTGATCTTCTTCTGGTTTTTTCGAGACCGATGCAGGGCTGTTTCTTCATGATTGCAGTGTAATGGTTATGTATGTGCAGCTATTAATGTGGCATGCATAAATTGTAGCATGAAGGATTTTGAAGTTTAGCATGGAGTTTCTGGTTGAAGACTAGCTTTAGGTTTATTTTAAATATATTTTCCATGTAAATTTCGTAACATTGCTTTAAACTTCTAACAATTTTTAAATTGTAATGGATTTATTTTCCCTCTAAATCTCCTCATTTGAATTTTCAAAGTATTTTCTCAAGTTTTGAATGATCATTAATTCAATGTAGTGATCCTTGTTAGTTGAACCTTGAACGCAGTATCTTGTGATGTCACTGTATCTTAGGAATTTGAATTTGGATTTGAATCCCTATTTTGAACCACCTTAGGGAATGTATTCGATCAAGTAACATTTTACCACTTTGCACCAAATTTGAATCTCTTTTGGATTGATTTGCATCAATTGAAAATGCCTCATTTTTACCAAATGAAAATCCATCTTGAATGATGTTTGCACATGTCGGACATGTACATACTTAGCAGCTTGAAATGGCATGAAATAACGTATTCCTTAGCCTTAACATAAGCTTAAACATTTGATCTTGAATTCGAAAATAACTTGAAATGATCATGAAATCATTGAACATTGAATTTGAAATTTCCATGACATATGAACTTGAAATAACCGAGTTGCTTGGCCTTCAAAAATGGTTGATGAACGCGAACATGATGAATAATGTTGAATGAATGAAACTGAGGGACTCAATAAAGTGACTTAAGACCCAAGTTACTTGCTTGACAAGAAATCCAAATACATGATTCTTCCAATGCTTAGCATGAATCAAAGTCTTAATGAACCTCACAATGCCTCAAAAACTTTAATCAAAATAAAACCAAGCCCCAAACCCTAATTCCAATACTTCACTGCTTGAAGAGAAGATCAGAAGAAATAATCTTATTTGATATGTACACCTCAAAAGAGCTGAAAAACCTAGCTTGTGCAACCACTGAACTTCAAACCTCATGCGCTTTATTGAATGTAAATGTATTCCATGTTAGTGCAGGTGACCTAATGGTAGGATGTAAATGCAATGCCAAGCCTAAGCCAGATAAAAGAAATTGGGAGGGAAAATTTTGGGGTGCAACCTTAGAAGAATTGTTCTCGCTTTGTAGTGATTTTTATGAACCTTCTTATGAGCATCTATCATTACACTTATTGCAATCTTTCCGCTTATGATTCCTCCTTCAACATGTTACCCTATTAATATCAACTCAATGAACCTGACTGACGAGCTTCCAATTAGATGATTGAAGAAAGGACCCGTCAAAGTTCCCATAAACATATCAACAAACTCCCTATCAGACAAAGGAGGTTGAACTCTTTCTTCTAGATCTCTCCATTTATGGGCATACTCTTTAAAGCCTTTGTTTAAGCCTATAGTCATACTCAATAATTGCACATGGGTTGGTGCAAGATCAACATTATATTGGTATTGCTTGTAGAAAGAAGCAGCCAAATCTTCCCAAGTACAAATATTGGTCCCTTATAGTTGATAGAACCATTCCAAATGTGTTCCAGATAGGCTCTCTTAAAATAAATGCACTCATAACTTCATGTTGGTAGTGTCCGATTGAATCTTCGGGAAATATGACCTCGGATGAAGCTTTGGGCAAGAAACACCGTCATACTTTGCAAATTTAGGGACCTTGAATTTGTGAGGAATGACAACTCCTGACACCAAACCCAGCTCTTCAAGTTCCAACCAAGGCACTCTCGGGATCTCCATAGCATTTAGACGGTCTTCTAGTTGTTTGTATTTTTCATCAACAGGAGGATAATGTTCGTCCAAATAGTCTTCTTCCTCTTCATCTGAAAACTTGTCAGAACCAAGATTGTTTCTTTCAATTTTAACACTTTAACCATCTCCATCATGGTTGTCATCTTCGTCCGAAGGGATATCAAGATCTTGAGCTCGCTTGACTGGACCTCTGAACCTCCTCCCCATGTTAAGGACACCAATTGGTTTCTTTGTCTTCTTCTTCTTCCCATTGGCGATGAGCGCCTTTAGTTCTTCTTGCCCCTTGGCTAAGTTTAGGAACAACTTCTGGAATTGGGCATTTTGAGCCTAAAGATCTTTGATTGTCTGTTCAAGAGCCATCTTTTACTGAAATAAACAGTAAGAAGATGAGAATTGTCTGTCTTGGGAAATACCTGTTATGATATGATGCGTATGGTATGTAGATGCATATGCAATGTTTTCAAGGATCTCGCAGGATAAACAAAAATGAAATGTCAGAAATTGAGTCTGGTTGCCGCTTTGTCTAAAGAACTTTGTGTCTCCATCTTTGAATGTCCTTCTATAAGAATCAAGCTCACCATCTCAAGTGGGTCCTAGAATCTGACTCAAGGGAATGTACCTTAATTTTTTACGGCATCTGGTAAGAGGAAAATAAATCCTCTCGCCCCTTGCTAGAAGTCTGGGTCATGATAAAACTGCACCCAAGTTCCATAAGATCCTTGAAATGGTTTGTAAAAATGTTATGATATGATTTCATGATGTCGTGATGTTATGTTTAATAAAGTATCAAACATAAACAAATCACACAAGAGCCTCAGGTTTAAAGGCTTGCATGAGGTCCGTAGGTAAGTATCCTACTCTATTGAAGTTAAGTTGGCCCAACCTGTCCTAAAATAGTAACCGGGTTCTAGGAATCTCATATCACCGATCTTTCTTGCAGGTCTTATTTTAGTAGGGCAACTAACTTTCCACCAAAATATCCCGAAAATCAAATCTCAATGAGCGCAGCATCGAGTATCAACCAACCTTGGACTGCACCAAGCTAGTTATCTCACTACCTTCTAATGGCCAAGATGTGTCAATTAAGGTTCTAAAAGTCAGTTAGTGCTTATGACACCATGCGGCAGCCCCATGTTATCCCCGACTGACTCAAGGAACATTGGTACAAACCAAAGTGTCACACTAACGTAGCCATCACTTCAACCATATCGGTCTACGTCGTATAGTTTCCATGATCTATTGCCACTTACCTAAAGCATCCCTAGATCTGAGTGTAGGATCTTTGCAAGAAATTAAACCCAAGAAAGCCTTAAAATAAAAGCAAACAAAGAAGACAAATAAAGAAAGTAAAAGTGATCTAAGACTCTAAGGTAACCCCTCTTTTTTAAGTTTCCCCAGCAGAGTCGCCAGTTATGTAATACGGTGGGAGAACTGACTTTTTTGTTTTATCTAAATATGCGGATATCTAGAGTCGCCACCGACTTTTCTTGTATCCAATAAGGAAAGGGTGAAAAGAACAGGAAAAACCTTGATAGATTTTGATTTTGGGGGGTAACTTATGAAAAGGGAAGGTGATAGAACCCTTTTCATCCATAGTTATCTACGGGCTTTTAATCGCTTAGCTCACTTTTGAAAATTTGCTTTTTGTGTGTGCGTTTTGAAAATATTTTGAAAATTTCCAATGTAAGGCAAACTTTGTAATGATTCTTGTATTAGTCCTCAAGAATGTTTACAAAGTGTTTTGAAAATATTTATTGAAAGTGTCGTGTGAAATGTTTTGTTTTGAAAAGTTTGTGAGCAAGCGATTAAAAGTATTCTACCCAATCAAGGTTGCTCTTATACTTTTCCTTCTCCTTTAGAGATAGTACTATCTGTACCATTAGTTAGTAGGTAGCCCTATCTATTGGATGTGAAGGGACAAGCGAAGGGTCATCGTACAATCATTAAAGGCAACTTGTAAGGACGCTTTAGTAATTTTGTAAGGGACTAGATAATTTTTCGTAGCAAACATCGAAGGATCATCGAGAGACTATGATATTTTATTTGAGGGTCTTTTGCTAAAGCATCCTACTTTAGAGGGACATGATCGTTATTCCGAAAAGACAACAAAGAGAGATTACCCTAAAGGTGCAAGTATGCAAGTGTGTTTGATTCATTTATTTATCTTGAATATAGGGTTTTGTTATCCGTTGGTTTTAGTCTTGCCATACTGTAGCGATAGAAATGTTTAATACAAAGCCATTGGGTTGACTAGACTTTATACAGATCAAAATAAAAATCTCCACCGCACTTTATTGTTTCCAAAGGAATGGGAAAAGAGCGAATAAACCAAAAAGAAGGGGAAAGATTCAAGGTAAAGGGGTTTGTTATGCAAAGGGAAGGTATTAGCACTCTAAACATCTACGGTACTCCGCTGGAACCTCTTTGCGAAATCTGTATATTTTGGATATGAAACATTTTGTATAAAAATGGATGGTGGAGGTGAGAAAAGAAATATATTTATTTTATAATTTTTGCACCTGCCGCGGTTGTGAACCTTTAGTGCCTACGTACCATATATTTGTGTAATAGGGGGTCAGGGTACACGTAGTTCCTCTTTTAAAAATTTAAAACACAAATGTGTTGGTTAATTTTATGAGATAAAACATCATCGTCATTGTCCGTATGGAAAACATACCTACTACCCACAATTATTAGAAAGGAGAA